AAGGATAAAAGGGCGATCAAAATCGGGTAGGTGAAGAACCGGTGCGCATGTCACCGCCTTCTTGAGGGCGCGGAAGGCGTCCTCGTGGAGGGGTGTCCAAGCCCAGGGTGGGTTCTTCCGAAGGAGGGTGGAGGTAAGGACATAGGAATACCTAGCGTATCCCCGGATGAAGTTACTATAGTAGCTGGTCAGGCCTAGGAAGCTGCGAAGCTGCTTGGCGGATGTGGGGGCGGGCCACTCCGCAATAGCAGTGATCTTTGCGTCGTCCATATGGAGACCCTGGTCAGACACGTAGTGTCCTAAGAAATCCACTTTGTGTTGGGCAAAGCGGCACTTGCTCAGCTTGGCGTAGAAGCCATGTCTGCGCAAGCGGTCAAGGACGTCGCGGAGATGTCTGAGGTGCTCCTCAAGGGTACGACTGTAGACCAGGATATCGTCGAGGTAGACGGGAACGTACTACTCCAGGATGTCCCTGAAGATGTCGTTCATCGCCCTCTGGAAGGTAGCGGGTGCGTTGGTGAGGCCGAATGGCATCACCGTGAACGCCACGTCGCAAACGAGGCGGGCATCCTGAAAGACCTGGATGTGGCGATCCAGGCCGGCAGCGCCACCAGAGCCGGACCAACGTGTAGTGACGACACGCTCGAAGGCGTCAGTCACGTCGTATCGCGCTCCGAAGCGATCCTCGAGGAACGCCTGGAAATCCACGAAGGTCGGAGTCCGACCCTCACGAAGGGAGTAGGCATAGAAATCCTCCCAGGCCTCGAAACGACCGCCACGCAGGCGCGTGGAGAGGTGGCCCACCCACGTCTCGGGTGTGGCGCCCATGAGCTGGAGTGTGCGGGTGGCAGACTGCAGCCACCGAGACACGCGTATGCCAATACCGTCATACAAGGCAATGTCCGACAAGCGGATGAGTGGTGCGCCACCGTTTTGGCGGTGAGGGGATCGAGGAGCGGAGGCCTGTGTCACGACTGAGTAAGTCGGCGCAGGTCCTGGAGAAAGGGGCGCAACTGACTGTGCGCCCGGGCCACATGGGGGAGCGGCGGTGACAACAGCGGCAGGCTGCGAGGATGCTGCGGTAGAAGAGGTCGCAGCAACCGCGGGAGTAGGAAGAAGGTAGGAAGGAGTTGTATAGGGTGCAGGGCGTGGAAAGCGAGCCTGCATGGGAGGAAGGGTAGAGGAGGTAGGGGGTGCGCCCGAAGGCGCGGCCACCTGTGAGGGTGGGGGTGGCTGAAGGCGTAAGAGGGCGAGGTTGGCCCGGAGCTGGGCAATCTCGTCCTCGAGACCTCGAACGTAGGTCGTGCGAGGGGTAGCAGGGGGAAGAGTGGAGGAAGTGGATGCACAAGCGGCGCGGGGCATCCCAGAGGGGGGAGAGCCAGGTGGCGCTGCGGTCGTGCGAAGGGGGGGAGGACCGGAGCACTCGGAAACGCTGAGACCATGGTAACGGGTTGTGGTCCCGTGGCCGTCGTAACCGGAATCTGGGTCGGTGCCCCCGTAGACTGAGGAAGGGCTTGACTCGTGGCGGCCGTCGAGCTAGGGGCATGGACGGTCACCAAAATAGCCGGGTCGAGGGCGGCAGAGGAGGAAACTCCGCCGTGGCCACCCTGTCGGCAAGGGTCCTGGAGGAAGGACGACCAACGTCCTGGAGTTGCTGCACGCCGAGAGTCCTGGAGTCATGGAGGAAGGACGACCAGCATCCTGGAGTTGCTGCACCCGGACTGAGAGCCAGGAGAAGAGAGAGGATGAGGAGAGGAAGGACGACCAGCGTCCTGGAGTTGCTGCACGCCGGCGGCAAGGGTCGCCACCTGCACCTGTAAGGGCCCGAGGGTCGCGAGTTGCGCCTGGATGGGCGCGAGGGTTGCGAGTTGCGCCTGGATGGGCGCGAGGAGGAAGGTGAGGAGGGTGTGCAGATCCCCCTGGGGCTGATGGCCCTGGTTCGCCGGCACGAGTGTGGAGCCCGATGCCGTGGTCATCACCGTGTAGGCGGCGTGTGACACACCGTCGGCCATGGGGAGATGACGGACCGAACTGGGGATGGCCAGAAGAGGTCCGCGTGAGCGGAGGGCGTAGAGGGAAGTCCGCGGTAGGAAGCGGCGAACGGCACTAGCAAGGCTAGCACGAGCGCCGTCGAAGGGGGAAGGGTGGTTCGGGTCCAGGGTGCCCGAAGAGGACAGGGAAGTATGGGGGTTTTGAAGAACCCTAAACCCTACAAAAACCCTAAGAAAACCCTAACTGAAGTTTAAGTGGTTAGGGTAGGGTACCGGTGACCTAATCAAGAAAGTAAAATAGCAAGCATAGGGGGGAAGGCGGGAGGAAAATAAATAAACAGCAAGATTTCGAGAGAAAATAAAAATAAATAGGGAAATAAATAAATAATAAAAATAATTAAAGAAATAAGTAAAAGATGTGAAGGGAAATAATATTTATTTATTTATTTATTTTTTATTTTTTTTTTTGAAATTTTCGGCAGCATTTCCCTAC